TCTTGAAAAGTCTTATTAATTTTACATTAATAAGGGTAATAATGATTATTAGTTTGTGCAAGTTCCGAAAACGAATGATTAATAGATTACTCAGAATTTATGGGTAAAGTTATTATCGTATGTTATCAAATCACGACCAAGTAATAATAACGAAGGATTGCTTCAATTAGCTAGTTACTGTAGTTGAGTGCTTTAAAATGTTATGCGTATAAATCTAAATTGATCGTGTAGATCATGAATGTAACCGGTTTATATAACATTGTACAAAATTATTTTTCACATGTATTTTACGTGTTTGTGTATGAATTCATTGGCCCTGTTATGTATGTAATCAGCGAATTGTCGAATCCTTGAGAATAAGGGATACAACAGACTGATTTGAAGGTTACATTTACGTAAACTCAGTATCCAGTATCAACTTGATAATCAACGATGTAACACAGTACTTGATACAATAGAAAGAGTCACAGCATTATTAGTTATTTACGGTGTTCACTAATATTGATGATCAAATGTTTTCCTAATAACTCACAGTCAAACTACCTTGTTTTGATACTCTACATGTAAAAGACAACTTCGATTTCCTCAACAATGACTCAGTCAGTTAGCTGATAGTTCTATCTTCATTTTTTGAGTGAATTATGCATTTGCACAAATTATTCACATGTTGGTTCTATCATTATAACAGTGTTGACGTATGACTTACGATATACTAGTCCATCTGTCTGTGGAGAAATTACTCAGTAAGGTAGAAAACTGATCGATAAAGGGATTACATCCATTCTGAATATATTAGAGATTCGAGCTCACATGGTCATTGTACAAATATATATTTATACTACTTCATTAATGAACACTATGTAATGAATATTGTCTTTCACAATGTTTAAGATCGATTTGGTTAGCAAATATGCAACCTCAACATATCGATAATGGAAGAACGATAAGGCTCGCTGTTTTGTATATAGGTATGAGGCCAGTATGGTTTGTAAACTGATTGTGTAGCTGTCAAATTGAAGGGGATTTAAGCTGTCAGATCTATTATACTTGGAATTATTTCTATTCTTTGTTGTATCTGATAGTTATATCAGACACTTGGAGTACTATATTTTTATATTTACTTACTTGCAAGCTGTTGTCTAACACATAAACCGTCTCAGATTTATTATAAACTACTTCTCTTTTCCTTCTTTTTTATCACCCATGGCCACGCGTATACAGCCACTGCCAGGGATGTCCCACTCACTGCCTCCCCGCGGCGGTATTGTTCACGAAATTGAAAATACTAAAGGGAATGTCCAGGGAGTTGGAAAACTCTGATTCCAAACCAATGGTGTACATGATCTCCTGGCGTATGAACCAATCGTTGGTTGCCGGTTACCATAGGACTGCATCTCCTGATGTTGCTCCACTGCCCTTGTGGATCAGACCTTTAGGTCTAAGGTTCGAGGTGTGGCCTAACAAAACTGCCTGCTTCGGTCTGAACACCCGGGCAGTATCACAGCCCACAGACAAATCAAGCGACTTGTGTGGCCCCTTTGTACCAATATTTATGTATTTGAATAAGTGAATAAACACTGAGTTAGAGGTTGCTTGAGGAATGATAGGCGTTAAAGTCTAGATCATCGATCCTACAAACCAAATATAGGTGTACCTGTTATTAATAATAGATAGTCTGATCACGCTGACCCCAGTATAATCCCAAAATTGGTTTTTGAAGATGCAACAGTAATTCTCTACGGTGTACAGTTTACCTTATTATATGTAACCCAACCTGTAAATCACAGTATTTACTAATGTATAGAATACTATTCATTTGGATATTTGTTTTCAAATAAAGTGTATCAGTTTTCGCTCTCATTAACAAGAGAACTTATGAACAATGTACGACATGACATAAGTGTGTAACATAATATTGTAATTTGCGTCGCCACTCAGGGGAAGACAAAGAGCAAGGGAGAAGGCAAAAGATAGTCATTATGCCAACTGCAGAAGAAAAGGATGCCTTAGGTAGTGTTTAGGTTGTCTACCATTCTTTATAAATGAGATATTGACTTACAATCAGACGGTGTTATTTAAAAAATAACGGTTTAGTTTGTTTCACAGGTCCAGCGGAAAATCTACGACCAGAATAACGATTATATATAGGTATAATTCGGCTAATAAATACAATGTTTAACCCTTTGAAAATTTATAAAACACGCGTTTGCATATCTGGTACTTGAAGCAATCAAAAGAAGACTTTTACAGTTACTATACATAGTATTTGGTTTTTTGGTTCTAGTAGTAAAAGCTTTGAACTTAATTAACAACACACCATTTGTTTTTTTTTAAAAAACAGGTTCTGATAAGTACCATAGAACAGATGGTACCAATGTACAAAATTTCCCTCAGTTACCTGATATAGCTAGTAAAATTACTATAACTGATATTCCTACCTATACCGATCCTACTGTTTCCAGTGGTAGCAGTATAACTGCTGTAAGGAAATTTCCGAAATCTACACACACCGTTGTTTCAGATTCAACATCACGATATTTTGATACTGATCACTGTTTACAGTCTGGATCCAGTTCGAAAATTTCATCTTCAAATGAACAACATCGCAAGGAAGAACAAAAGCATATTTTCGACTTTTTGAAGAATAATCTGTCTTCCAAGAGTAGACGACGTTTTCTAAGTGATTGTTACGATTCATCTTTAAATGTCGGTAGCAGTTATTCATACCGAAATTCAGACGTCTTATGTAATGTAAATCGTGCTCCAATCCTAAACAATTTGATTATAAGTGGTGTCCACCCTAATCATTTACGGAAATATAAATCTGATTATGGTCTACAAGCGTATGACAACAGTCAAACAGGGAATTTAATGATGAATAGTGATCTCGACCCAGTAGTTAATGCATCTGAAAAATCTGCACACGTTACTAAATACAGTCTGTCTTCCTTTAGATCTTTGGAAGATGATGGTTATTTAGAAGATGATGAAAGTTCCACAGACTGTGCACATTCTCCAGTTACAGCATCTGATCCCGAATTAAGACATGATGTTTACCCCGAATCCAGTAATGCAGAAGACAGGGTTTTGCGCCAGAGATCATCTTCTATCTATGGACTTCCACATTATTTGTTACATACAGAAGTGTCAAACAAGAGATGTGATTCACCGAATTCTGATAATAATGTGAAAAATCCATCCATCATAAAAGGTCAACAAGGAAGTAATGATGCGAATGTGTTTATGAACAACCCATTGCTTAAGTTAGATATGACATCTGTACGTAATCGGACGAAGCCAAATCGCAAAAGACATCACCGTTCATCATTAGATCGAGTAAGACATTGAGATTTGTTCAATGCTCATGTACCTTTAATTTCTCAGTATATTTTCGTATTTTATTGCTATTTGACGATTATATTTTCAGTGAAGCTTGGGTTTCGCGTTGTCTGAAGAGATGAGCAGTAGCGTAAGGATTAAAGCGCTTTGCTTTCAGCTGCTTACGCGCAGGTTCCAACCTACTTTTATCTGGTCAGTCAAGTTAGTTTCATCAGCTATTTTCCTGCCTCCAGAAATTGACAGGTAAAAATAAAACTATCGACAAATTAAGCATCCTGAATACTAGTGCTAAGTTTTGTGCTTCCATTATTGGACTGTCTTATTCCTTATGGATGACTAGACTATCATCAGTCTAATTGTATTCTGCATTAATTCTGGACAAAGATTTGTAGTCTATTAAGTATTTATATTACATCTACATTTACTACGGGATGTATATATTTATTTGGTGCCGTGTATAACTACCGTCTTAGGTGTGGCTTAGTGTTATAACCTACAAAGTTGTTTCCAAATATCGGGGTTCTAGCCTTTAAACCATATATCTCGTACCTGGAGATCAATTTTAAACCATTTATAATAAAAACTCCTGAAATGTTTTCTTTTGATTTCATAGTTACGGACTGATCGTGATCGAGGGGCAGCAAACTCGCTTGTTAACTTGCCATAATGACAAGTTAAATGATTACATTGAATTGATAAATAATATGTGCTTTTGTATGTACATATTCGTAAAATTGTGATATTTCATTTATCAATTACGTCTACGTATATGAAGACATCTTTGCTTTTATATTTTATTTCTTCTTACTTACAAATACTCACTCACTCATTCACTTTCATCCTAAAACAAGGAGATTCTTTAAGCTAATATACATATATATTTCATAAGTAAAGAGAAAAATCACTTCACATTTTCCCACGTGATAAATATTTGAAAACAGATGTTATATTTCATGTTTACTATATACATTACCTACAACGATTTCATTTTGAGTGTTCTTTTCTTCTACATTTAGCTTATGTATGGTATAACTGAGTTTAAATTGTATATCAACCTGTAACAATCGAAACGCCATTTTTATTGATGTAACTGTTTATGTTTAGGCTAATGTGAAGGGCGACTGAAATGCTTTTACAAAAATAAAGGCTGAACTAAGCGAATAAGAGTATATGAGTTACACTAATCTGTGAAATGAAATCAATATTATCAGAGTAGGTTTATTGTCACTACTGATTATTTTTGAACACACAGGAGGGTTTGGATTTCCGTATTGTTAAGATTGTAGCAAATCTAATCATTGGTTCTGGATCATTTTCATGAAACATAACAAAGTTAATTTAAGACTAATCCTACGACCTGCTTTAACTATATGTTTGACACTACAGATTGTTGTTTACCCTCCGATCCTACTAGGTTATCCCATTTTATATAAACCTAAATCTAATTAGCATCAGAAGGTTAAAAGGCTTCAAGCACAGGTTATTTCTCATTTAATACTTAATGATCGATAGGAAACAATTATGCTCTTGTTTGGGTGTAATGTCATAAACAGTAGATGGTCCTACTATTTCTAATGTTTTTCAGAGACTTTATAAACCTTTTCACCATAATTTTGAAGAAAAAAAGACTTGTTCAATGTAATACATGTTTAAGGAGATTTTCAAGTACACTGCTCAGTAAATTCTGTTTCTATGGGTTTTTCCAAAATACACGTGTCTATTTTCCTCTTTTTACGCAAATTTTCGATTTTCTCATCCACAGTAAGTTCCACATGTCTTGTAGATAGCTTCTTAATTACAGTTTTCTTATTAGACAGTTCTAAAGTGCTAATAAATTTAGCCTCTGGAGATATTTCATCCAAATGATGATTGATTAGTGAGCTATTTGGAATGGTACCTGTAACAAGAAATATATTGGATCTAGTTATGTGCTGATAAAATCAAGTTAATAACAAATTTGTGTGAAAAGAAGCGATACTGTCTTTGTACTTAACATCAGGTTACCAGAGAGAGGTTTCGATAATTAGTCCTGTAGTTGGAAGGAGAATGCTCAGATTTGGGAGCGCAATATATACAAACAATGGCGAATACACTTGTACTCATAACTAACTATCGACTCTTTGGTCGTTGTACTTTTTTATATCGAACACCTGCAGAGCATTATGTTATGCATGAGTGACTACACAATATGACTACTTGAATTCATACAAAACCCTCATTGAGAATCCTAGTAAGCTAATTAAAAGAGCGGGAATCCATGTAGTTATGGAACACAATGATAGGCAAACATACTTTCAACATAGTTCAACATTCTTCTGACAATAGCTGATCTGGAAATAATTTGGATAAAAATCGTTTAAAGAAAAGTACAATATTTCTACCGGATTCCGTATTCTGACCACAATTTCTGATAATGTTTGACCAAATCTAGTTGAGCAGCTAGAAATTTTATTGTAGAGTGAAGTGATTATCCACATACCTTTACTTGTTTCCCAATTTAAACAAGATTCTGGGTAGGTGCCAGCAATAAATAACAACGGGAAGTCTTTGGGAGATATGTATTACTGTTCAGAGACTTACCAGCTGCAAGGTGATAATGAGGTTTAGCGGGAGTCTTACTCAAATCCAACATGTCATCAACAACCTTTAATATAAAATGAAATCAATGTTTTTTTTAAATCCCTAATCTATCAGTAGAAAAAATAAATGTTAACTAAACATAACGAAAAGTTATTCCCAAGTAGTGTTGAATATGTTCTTCTAAGGATTACAGCTGTATGCATACTGTTTTATGCATGATGCCTCTTTTGAAGTGTAAAAACAACTAATCATACAGATCTACTACGTAAAGCAGATAACAGAGTCAGTCAGTAACAACGTAGAACTTCGTACGTACGTACATCAGTTCGAGTTGCCATACCACATTAGCACAGAAATGCAGTGGTCGATTCAAATTTCGTAGTGGTAGAGGTAGTACGAGTATAAGCAGTAATCGGAAAGATTAGGGTTTGGAGATGTTATTTAAAGAGTGTAATCCAGTGAAATAAATCTGGGAAGAGAAAGAAAAAGAGACAAGGAGAAATCAGGAGATCAAAATTTGGGAGAACATAGAGTGTGGATGCACCTGCGCCATTGCAAACGATTTTGAGCCATGTCATTTAGGGTCTCTGACCATCGGTTGCTATCATCTCGCGGTCCCCAACCACGTAGTCTACACCTACTAACATGACTCGAGTTGGTTCTTTGTTTTGACATAGTGATGTCAAATGAATGACGCTACTCGAATCCTGAATGCGCGTTTCGGAGACGCAGCACACATCGATGTCGCGAGATCCTTAAGTCCTAGCTAAGGAAGCTTTTCGTCCTATTTGGCACAGCGTTCGGACGTTATAAGCTCCAACATGAAGTTTGGAACGTGGTTTCAGGAGACCAGGAATAACGTTCCGCGTACTCGAATCGTTTGCCCTAGCGGTGCGAGGTGATAAAAGGACGTGAGAAGGGTTAGTCGGGGAGATAAGAATATTATTAGAAGGTGTAGGAAGGATTTGAATGTGACCAACTTGGTCTCGTGTGCTGTTACGGGTATGAGGGCTGATGTCACTTCCCGGCTGCCCACACCGTGGGAGGGTATTTCTTGAGGAACCTGAAAACGAAGTTAGATTAATGTTGGCCTTAACGGCCTGGGGGCGTGACCGCAGAGCCCAGGGGACAACTGCTTTAGGCCGGTCGCGCACGGTCTTTTTGTGGGAGGTTTTTGAGGTGATAGCTCCGTTCTTTCAAAGGGCCTTACCGCCGGAGACGGAAATCCGTGAGGTAAGGTGAGGTGTCACATTTTTAGGGTCGACCTTTTCTAACCCCGCCCTTCCTTGTGAGAAGGCAGCATCGCTGTAGATGCTGGTTGTCCGAGGGAAACACCTTACTGCTGTCACACCCCTCTACAGTCAACAGTACGACTTCGCCCTCAGACCTTGAGTTGCTGCTTTTAGTCTCACCGTTCTCCAATCGACCTGCCTGGCATGGCAGAACCTGCAGGAACATATGTTCCAGCTAATATAGCTCGGTTGGGTCATCACGATAGGCAAGCCCGACCACCGCGTCAAGGTAGCAGCTACGATCGGGAAAGCAGATAACAGAAAAGTAATCAGGCACATAATGTTGACATGTAGTATACAAATGGTAATAGCCATTAGATAAAAAATAGTCGGATCCATGTTATTTATTTGCCTATAGCACTTAACTGGCACTGTATACAGTTCAAGACTAGTGACACAACATGAAATGGAATGGAGAAAATCCTGAGTACAGTAGTAACCAAAAATAGAAATCCCGAGGCCATTGCATCGATTGTGATGATATCATTAGTTTTACTGAATTTGTTTTAAATCAGTTAATACTTGGATCCATTATAACCTACATATATATTACTAAACAAGTTATTATGCGTCGAGAAGCAAATAGCGATCTTGTATAAACAATTCTTAAAAACTAGTTTCTATTTATCTACTCACTATAAACGCTAGGACGCTAGACCTTGTCTTTCCGATAATAACAAGTTGAGCTGCATGAAATGTCCGGCTGATAGTTAATTTGAGTTTCCGTTTCAGCGTGAGACTATTTGTGTCACCTCTGAATAATAACGTAATGTTAGCTCGCTTTTTGGGTACCAGAAGTGTCATAGGTCTAGCCGTATTGCAAACCTTTCAGCTTTCTATATATAGAACATTAGATGGAATCATCATCTCTCCTACTAAGCAGGATGTCTAGAAAAAAAAGTTAGTTATTCTTCGCTTCGCAAGTAAAACAATTATACTTTTGTCTTGAGTTTTTTAACAAGCGGTTTACATCTTCCCATTTATCCCCTATAATTATGATGTCATCAACGTACCGTTTATACAGATACATCTTTTGAATTGAGTCTCCAACTAAATTCTCAACATATCAGCCAGTAATGATCCTAAAGGGCTACCCATGACTATACCATCTATTTGCCGAAAGTGCTCACCTTTAAAAGTGAATTTTACATTATCTGTACACAGTAATAATAAATCTTTAAGTGTTAACAGGAAATGGCAGTGGAAGGTTATTCAAAGAGATATAGTCACACAAAATATCAATAGTTTTCCTGATAGGTACACTTGTAAATAAAGTGTTCACATCAAAGGAGCACATTGTCTTTGTCCTTATATTTATGTCCTTTAAGTACTTAATTAATTTAAATGAGTCAGTCAAGGAATACTTACAATATTGATTTCGGATAGGCGACACAAATAGTCTCATGTTGAAACGGAAACTCAAATTAACTATCAGCCGGACATTTCATGCAGCTCAACTTGTCATTATCGGAAAGACAAGGTCTATATTTCACCAAAAGCCCAAATAGCACGGAAACACGTACATAGGGAGGAGCAATCGTGATTTGCAACTAAGGATGGGCGAACACATACCAAAATGGTTGCAGAAACAAATGGATCCCAATGGTCAAATAAGATCACAGGATAGACAGACATAATCCTCCATTGCGAAACATTTGATTGAGACTGGTCATAAGGTTGACATCAAATCAGCATTTGTAGTGTTATACAAAAGCCTTCAAGGAAGTATACTAAGGTTCATTGAAGCCTTGGCTTTACGGAAACTGAAACCCACTTTATGTGTTCAAAATCAATTTGTCCTTACGCTTAACCTACCCTGGTAATACTGATTTATTATCCAGAGTGGTCATCACATTTGTTTTTGTGTACTTTAATATTATTTATTTTTTATTTGTTACGGCTTACCTTTAACCTGTCTAGTTGACCTTTTAATTTTTATATATAAATGTTCTTAACAAGTATATGTGATCAGATTGTTCGGAATGTATTGCGCAAATATATCACATAATTCTGATAAACTTCGTTTAATAAATGGATACCGACAAAGAGATTAAATCTCGTAGTTGTGCATATATTTTTATGGGAGTCTGGAATTCAATTCACCAATTCAATTACCTAAACCAAATTAAGTACAAATTCACAAGGTTGAAAAAAGAAAATCAAAATCACCATGATTGATAGTCCTTGAAACCAAACATTCATTAATCATATAAAAAGTAAATAATTAGTGTAAGAATCAACTTACTGATGGACTTTCATAACCCCTTCCTACCATAAACAAGATGGACATAACATACCGTATTTGGTGATAAAGGAAACCCGAAGCCGATATGCTAATGCGACATAACTTGCAGTGCCTAAAAAGTAGAATTAATTATTTATTTATTTAATATTATTATTAAAGTAGAATTGAAAATATGTTAGTTGATATACAGGTACATGTATCGATGCCCTGGTACGGCCGAGAATGGGGAGAGTCCGCTCTCCCTCTCGAAATACTCTCACACGGCCGCGCGTATACAGCCTCTGCCAGGGAAGTCCTACTCACTGCCTTCTCGTGGCGGGGGTGTTGTTTACGAAAATGAGAGGACGAAGAGCGAATGTCCGGCGCTTTAACCGGATTCCAAATCAATGGTGCACATGGGCTCCAGTATCCTGCGGGAACAAATGGCGTATGAACTACTCGTTGGTCACCGGCTACCATGGGATTGCATCTCCTTATGATACTCCACTGCCTTGTGGGTTAGACCTTTAGGTCAAAGGCTCGTGGTGTGGCTCCCTAAGAAAACCACCTGCTTCGGTTTGGGCACCCGGGCAGTATAACAGCCCACACACGTGATGAACTCTCTATGTCTATGGAAGTTACTTTTCTCGCTTCGAAAAACAATTGATTCAAATTATTATCATTACAATTATTGTCATTACTAATACTATTATTATTATTACTATCATTATTGTCATTATTATTTTTTCCCCACATTATTCACCCTCTTTTATACTTATACAGCGGCTCGTCTTTGGTGGAAATTCGACTCTATCTAAACGTTCTCGAGTCACTGTCCGGTTGAAAATTGTATGTTACCACCGTATATGAGTACTGAAGCAGTTTTTCTGAAACCACGTGCACCATTCAAACTGGCTGCCTTCAACGTTCGCACACTTATGCAGGTCGGACAACAGATAGGGCTGGCTATGTCTTTGGAAAGTCTTAATATCGACGTGTGTTGTCTATCCGAGACCCGTATTCAAGACTCTGGTGAAGTACTACAAATTCGCTCTACATCTGTCACTTCAAAATGGTTGTTTTACGTGCGCTTATCTGGGGACCCTGTGGCACCTTCGTCTGGTCTCGCTGGCGTTAGTGTCGCAATAATCGCTAGAGCTGAGGCAGCACTAATCGATTGGATCCCCATTAACAGTCGGTTATGTGCTGTTAGATTACAAAGTTCCATCAAAGTGAGAAGAAATCGGCGTGAGAAACGATGTCTTTTCGTCATCTCCGCCTATGCCCTCACAGATTGCAGCCCGGATGCAATCAAGGATGAGTTTTACCACCAGTTATCTGTTCTCCACAAAGTGCGTTCGACAGATATTGTAGTACTAGCCGGAGACTTGAATACCCAGGTCGGGCGTCTAGGCACAGAAGAGAGTCGTTTAGGTGGCCGATGGGGACTCGTTGGTCGCAGGTCAGATAACGGGGACTGTCTACTGCAACTATGCACAGACCACAACCTGTTTCTGGCTAGCACTAACTTTCGGCACAGTCATCGCCGATGTTCCACCTGGCGTCCTCCCTCTGCATCTCAAGCCTGGACTCAGATTGATCACATCGCGATCAGCTACCGCTGGCGTGGTTGTGTACAAGACTGCTGCTCCTTTTGGAGTACCTATCTGGACTCTGACCATGCATTGGTCTGCGCCAATCTTGCCTTACTTTTCAGTGGACAACGAAGTGACCGCCATCAACGGATTGATATTAGCAAGCTGGTTGCAACTTATGTTGCAAGTAAGTATCGAACCGAGCTAGGTTCTAGGCTAGCTACCATTCCACCGACAAGTATAGATGAGCATTGGCCGCAAATGCACGACGCCATGAAAATGGCGGGTACAGTCAGTTGTGGGTTCGCGAAACGTCCCGCTTATGAACACTGGGTTTCTGCAGGTTCCTTACAACTCATTGAAGCCCGTCAGTCTACTCTGGGTGACCGTGAGTTTGATCACAAATGAAGGTTGTTACGTAGTGAAATTGGGCAAAGCTTGCGTAAGGACCGAGAAGCCTGGTGGTCGGAGCGTGCTAATGAGCTGGAAGCAGCAGCTGCATCTGGTAACTACCGGAAGCTCTTCCAATTCATCCGAGCCACTGGCAGCAAGAAGTCTGGTGTGAGTGAAACAATCTGTGAGGATGATGGGATGCCAATCACTAACATCCATCGACGTCTTGGACGGTGGGCAGAATTTTTCGAAGGGCAGTTCAACTGGCCTGCTGCTCCGGCAACATCGGTCAGACTGTCCTGCCCTCCATGGCTGGTGACGACTGATCAACCAAACGAGGAGGAAGTCCGCAAGGAACTCCAACTTTTGAAGCGTTACAAATCACCTGGCCCAGATGACTTACCTCCGGCTCCTTTTAAAGATGGTGGTGAATTTCTGGTTAAAGAACTGACAATGTTGTTTACAAAGGTCTGGGAGCTAGAAAGCGTTCCAGCATCATGGAATGAGTCCATAGTTGTCCCTATCTTTAAAAATAGTTCACGTCGTTTCTGTAACAAATATCGAGGGATAAGCGTACTTCCAATTGCGTCCAAACTGTTGACTTCCGTCATACTTCGTAGGTTGTTCAAAACCCGAGAAAGATTGACTCGCGAGGAGCAGGCTGGGTTTCGTTCTGGTCGAGGATGTATTGATCATATCTTCACCCTCCGCCAAATGTTAGAATACCGTCATGCTTATCAAAGGCCAACAATCGTAGTGTTTCTTGACATCAGGGCTGCCTTCGATTCGTTGGATAGGACTGTTCTCTGGGATTGTCTATTGAAGAAGGGTGTGCCTGAGAAGTTTATTAACATCCTAAAAGCCATATATACTAACACCTCAGGCAGAGTGAGGGCATACAACCACCTCTCTCCATCATTCCATTCGAGCAGTGGGGCTAGGCAGGGTTGCCCAATCTCACCATTCCTCTTCAACTTTGTCATCGATGACATTCTGGAAACAGCTCTGATGAATGTAAGTAATGGTGGTGTGAATCTGTTGCCTGGAGAAAGACTTCTCGACCTTGAGTATGCGGACGATATTGTCTCACCATGCGATGGTACCCAGGCAATACAATCTGCACTTCACCGGTTGGCAATCAGTGTCCGTAGGTATGGTATGCGCTTTGCACCTTCGAAGTGCAAACTACTTTTACAAGACTGACAGGATCCTGATCCTGCACTCACCCTGAGTGGTGAGCAGATAGAAGTAGTCGAGAAGTTCGTGTATCTGGGTAGCTACACAAGTGCTGGTATTGACGTGAGTGATGAGATCAATGCACGAATAGTGAAAGCCAGAGCGGCTTATGCCAATCTGGGCCACCTTTGGCGCCTTCGTGATATTAGTCTGGCTGCAAAAGGTCGGATCTACAACGCGTCGGTGAGAGAAGTTTTGCTCTATGCTTGGGAAACCTGGCCTCTCCAAGTTGACGATGTTAGATGAGTCTCTGTGTTCGATCAACGTTGTCTCCGAGGGATTGCTGACATTCGGTGGCAACACCATGTTAGTAATGCAGAGGTTCGGCATCGTGTGTTTGGGCACAGAGATAATAATGCAATCGATGTCACCATCTTGAAACATCGACTTCGGTGGCTTGGACATGTTCTACGAATGTCGTCCCAGAGAATTCCATGCCGTGCATTATTTGCCGACTCTGGGACTGGTTGGAAGAAGCGGAGAGATGGTCAGTGCATGACATGGTGTCGTGGCATGAAAGAAAGCTGCAAAGGACTGGCTTCTGTTGGTCCTTCACGACTCCCTGGTTGGGGTCTGAGAGATGGTGCTACACAGTGGCTAGAGACGTTGTCAGATATGGCTCAGAATAGAAGCCAGTGGCGATCCTGCTGTAACCTTGTTTTACTTTCTTCATAAAAAGTGGTTGTCTCCCTTACCTGAAAGATTTCTTCTGATTGTACCTTTCCGTTCTCTCATTTCTGCCATACTACCTTACACTAATCTCCTTGTTATTGTTCTCTTTTTTTGCGCTCCTTATCTTTTTTTTCTATTTCTCTTCGAATTCTCATTGTTTTGTGTGGCGCATATATATTGGCGCTCTCTTGTACCAATATTCATGTGTTCAAATAAATAATAAATAAATAATCGATATTGGACCATTTTGAGTATACTTTTAATGATACTACTAAAATACTACTCCAAAATTTATTGAATCATACGATAACAATCGGTCGGCAAGTGACGAAATCTAGATACATATACAAAATGTTTGGTTTTTCGCAAAATTAAGTTATCTGTTACATAAAAGTGGGAACCCTCAGAAGCTAAGAATATTTCACGGGAGTTCGGTTTATATATGAGGACGAATGAAACTTAGACTTGGGAAGTGTAAATGAAAAGGTTGTGATCATTTTATCATAAATCTCTTCAGGATATTGTTTTGGCGCTAAAATCACTAAGTGGACTGTGTTAGTTGTATTTACAGATAGTAGTAAACGACGTTAAATTAACTGCAAACCATGAAAGACTAAAGTGCTTAAGGGATAAGTCACTCATGAACAACGACTAAATAAATCAGAATAGTACTGGTTGTTTACTTTTTCCTTACTTGTAAGTCCAAACAAATTGGAACAACCAAGCTCCAAGAAACAAGCGATACAAAACCACAGAATTCGAATAAAATATTCAATTCACATATTGGACATGAACACTAAAACTAGTTTGCTATTTATAGATTTTTTTAAACTGAATTCTATTTCAACATTACGCATAAGGTAGGTGGCGGCTAGACATATACAACACATCTCAACTACTTCAGTATACAGCTGTTTACGTCTCCATCCATCACTTCTGACTTCTGCCAAGTGCTATGTGGGAGCATAACAATAATACAATTTAACCAATAAAGGGCGAATTATAGCCCAAAATAATTTCTATGAAGTTGGCGTATCAAGACTTTCAGTACAAACTCATTTCTCAAGCGCATGCGGTCACTATTAAAAACTACTTCAACTTTGCCACAAACTAAAGCAACGAGAAGAAATAAACGACATTCATTGATTGGACAACATTAAAGCATCATGTTGTAATACTACTGAATCGAGTTACTAAAAAGATTGGGAAAGCAACCGGAGAATTTGAAACTTACTGATCACACGAGTCTACATCGCTTATAACCACTTCGAAAATCTCACGTATGAAAGTCACAGTATCTTTTTCGATTCGGGAAGTACAGAAGTTCCTGAAATCATGTACTCCGACGAGCCGATTACCCGCGTCCATCATTGACTTTAAACAAATATATGACGGTATAAAACCACTTACTTTAGTATCTAGACCGCTTTCAGGGAAATAATATTCGTAAGATCTTTTGCAACACATAAACCTACAAGATTAATTTGAGGAATAACCAGTTTACCTTGCACTAAAGTCTGGTGAGACGGGAGACCAGGCTAGGACTCGGATGTCGCGTGGTAGATTTCTGTTCAATGCAGAAACGTAGTCCATTTCTTTGTCAGGAACATCTACAGAAGCATATACTACGTCCTCAAACTATCTAACCCTGACGCTCAGAGATACGAGAACCAGAATCTTCAATAATTCCGACCCCTCTATCTATTAGTGAACGCGAAACAAGAGAAACAACCTGAACGGCAGTAATATAAATACTGATTATTGCTGAATTACTTGGCACAGCCCACTAACTCCTCTGTCAGTTCGTCCACAAACTGAAAAATTGCACTCGTTTCTGTTGAAATGAGATAAAATTAAACGTGCCTATTTTCAATGAGTTTGGATTTTTCCAGTGCGTCGAAAACGCGGTCCATGACGGTTAGTGCGAGACAACCTTGAGGAGCCAATCCACCGTAATTCCAGCCTAAATACGATACTTTTAGCGCAATATGGCGCTTCTTATACCTACCAAATGATTGAGATGGAAAACTGACCTGTCAAAAATGAAAGGTTTGATGACTTTTGGGACATCATTTTCTTGTTTTTGAAGCTTTGATATAATATTCTCTAATTGTTGATTATATTTTAGTAAGCAAATAGCTTTTTCCTTTAAAGCCTTCAAATCCTACATAGTGAAAACGTCGAATATTTACTTCGAAATCAAGTTCGTCAAGCGATTTCAGTTTGCACTCCAACTGTTTTATCCCTGAGAACATCCCACTCATAATTCGCATCCCCAAATATGCGCTTATTCAGATGACCCTGGTCACAATACAACTAAACAATGACACACAACTTCAAATTCGCTGAGCATAAGTAAGCAGTCGATGAATCCTTGTGATTGGTGTTCAGATTTGTTTATATACAGGAGGTTTCACATTAGATTGAGCTACTTAAAAAGGATAGTGGTAGTTTTTTTCTCAGCTATAATTCGAGCGCGTTTCGAAAAGGGCAATGATTTTGTAGTTGTTGTGACAATCCTTGTTTTTTTTGTAATTATTGCATCAAAAGCATTCTTGTCCTAAATAAAAGTACTTTGTTTAAGATTTGAAATCTTGCTAAAGTTTGTTTTGTGGTACCCTTTTACTCGTTGACTGACACTTCATACTGGGTTCATGTTGTGTTTTACACCTTAATCTGACTAGAATGGTTGGTAGTACTCACAAATGTGGACAACCAAAGTGTTTGTTCCCTGTGGAGGAAGGAATGCAGTGTGATGAATGCAAAAAGTGGTTTCATAAGATATGCACTCGTTTGAGTCCCACCGCATACAAAAGCCTAACTCACATTGGCTTTGCATGTTTTGCTGTGCAAATAAGACGTTACTAATACAGGAGGCTATGAGCCTATTGGCTTTGGCCTGTAAGAAGGACGATGGCCCATGCGCTGATAACACGACCACTGACAGTGACGAATGTGTCAGTGTAGTCCCTGCTGTTACGAGACGCCTTAAACAACCGACTTTGACTGACGGAAAAGTGAAATCCCCGTTAACTTTAACGAGGGGGCGGTAGTATCACCTGACAATGACACCGGTAACCATGCCACTCTAGTGGAAACTGAAGATCTGGATAAACCCATCACTGTTCCAAATAGTCCAAGTGTCCTGAGGGATGAGAAATGGACTACAGTATGGAGAAAATGAAAGGAAAAGAAAAAAGCTGTAGGCAGTACGCAGCTGGTTAGTAGGCTATTTGTAGACTCTCATTGTGGGCCACAAAATGCACTGCCGAAGTCTGATAGTAAGAGAGAATTCCACCCTGGCATGACTGAGAAGGAGAATCTAGTCTCATCGAATATCATTGTGAGCAAATTGCTGGAGTCAAACGATCCTGGTCTCAAAATTAAACACACGCATGATTTAGAGAAGCTGGGAGAATATTTCATGAATATAGAAAATAAAGCCCTACGTAGTAAACGCCCAGAATTATCAATACTTCGGCTTTTTAAATCCCATGTGAAGTCAAATTCCTTTGGCACGACTAAATTCTTCATAGTTAACGGAAGCGTTGTTGACGACCCTAATAGTATTTGCGAACAATTCAGCAAGCACTTCTCGCAATGCTACAAAACTGGAAGTGAAAGCCCTATCATTACATTATCAATGCTGACATCCAGACACCTATCGAAAATTGATTTTATGCACTCCAAAATCAAGCAGATTATAGCTGCCTTGAAAAAGTCTTATGATGGTGGACTCGACGGGATCCCTTCATTGTTTGTGAGATATGGTAGTAGATAATTCCCACTATTTTGTGTGAAACTTTTAAACCCATCTATGGATCGAATCGAAATTATTATTGTACAAAAAATGTGTCTTACTCATTCTTGAATATAGTACTTTAGTTCTCAGTAATTGCAGGCATAATGACCTGATTAAAATTGAGAGTGTTCATAGAAGGCTCACTAACACTGTTCTGGGGTATTTCGACAACATAGACTATCACCAAAGATGTCAGCAACGCAAATTAGAACCTCTCTGGATCAGACATATCAAATTAAACCTTGTCTTTATCTACCGGTTTATTAACGGTATTCCCTACTCTTCGTTATCCACCCCTTCATACTCTATGATATCATCCCACAATCTGCGTAATAAGGAAAATATTCTAGTGATTCCAAGAACTCACACAAACTCACGCCAGAATTTTTCCATTATTCGCTACTTAACCATGTGGAACAGACTGCCAATGAACCTCCATTGCAATGTAACTACAACCCGTATCGGGAGTCTCCCTGATGATTTTCTTTCCGAAAGTGGATTGTGTCACCTATTGAATGTCAATGTATTTAATAATGATTTATACAAACAAGGTCCGTCATCCATCTAATTGACTGAAAAACGAAATGTAACCTTTGAAACTTTTGAAGTCTATTTTACTTTATTTTCTTTCTGTCCATCTTAATATATGAGGTCTGCTTATGTTCGTATCTATAATTATTACTGTTATTAATATCATTATTGTTCCCCCGACACATTAGATATTCTTTTTATCTCTTCTTATCCTTTCAAACATATTTAATTCCTGATTGTCTCTTGAAATTAATTATGACTTTCATAGCATCATTCTTAATTATTATTGTACAAATGCTTGTATTAATATCCGATATCACTCTGTATATTATTACATAAATCTACATGTATTTATTCGAGTGCACTTAAGGATTTATTCTATTCTTCTAAATTGTTGGTATACTTCAGAGATCAATACTCATGACACAATTATTATTATCATGGTTGAACCTTTCACTAGGTGTCCACTTCTTTTCTCTCTTTTTTTTCCTCCTAAATAAATATTATTCTTAAGATTACGAAGTTTGTGATTCAGACAATAACTTGTGTTACATTTAAATTAACTTCTCAGACTCGTTTTATCCTCACTATGAAAATATTGATATTTCGTTATCATTTTCACTTGATTGAGACTTTCATAGCATCACTCCAAACTATGACTGCACAAACACTTATTCTAGCGTCATATCTTACTGCAATAATAAGTTATTTCTTCCTAATTATTTTCTATTTTATTTTTGTTACTAATTTGACAATACATACATAGTCGTTTATTCTTGTTCTGTGTTCATAAACACGCTTATTAAACTAATTGCGTATTTCACGTCTCCTTTATTTCTATTCCCTTATTTTCTTCCTTTCCTTCTTTAAACTCAATTCAATATTCTTTTCAACTACACAGAGCCTGATTTGTCATTATTATTCTATTATTATTATTACGCACTTTTTTCAAATATGGCAAATATAATGCTAACATTATTGAAACTCGTGTATTGTTGCATTTTTGAAGAAACCCGAAATGGTTTCTTCACAACACTTATGTACCCATAAGATGTCTGTGAATAATAATAATAATATTCGTAGTATCTATCCAGATAACTTTAAAGTTCAGGTCAAAAAACTGGTCAGAATGAATAAAAGGACCGAGAACAAGGTTGAACCCCGCCCACGTAGACTCCTTAAGGTATTACTAGGGTCGGAGAAGCAACGTGATCTCCTGTTAAGTAGCTCTCGTAGTCACGACAATTCCGACATCCAAGTTAAACCTGATATGTCTCTTGAAGATAGAATAAAAAGGAAAAAGGCACTAGCTGAACTAGAAACCCGTCGACAAAACGGTGGGGAAAATCCCCGATTAGTGGGTTTTCGGATAGGCAGGTCTTGGAAGCGAATGCTACCAAGGCCTGTGTGAATAGGCTGTTCCGCCTAGGAGTTTTATAAGTTAACGCTCGTAGTCTAAGAAATAAGTTCTATGAACTAGAAGTACCAGCGGACAAATTAAGGCCACTCATTGTAGCAGTGACAGAAATTTGGTTAGTCCATGACTTAGACATTACTCCAGAATTATCCGGACAACTTTACCTAAGGGGTGATCGACATAGATGTAAAAAAGGAGCTGGCGTCCTTTTATATATAACCAATGATATAAACGTTCGCTCCTCTGCTAGCGAATCTCATGATGGCGATACTTGTGAAGTCATTAGCTGTGAATAGGTTACCGGACATGGTACATTTATGCTCTGTGTCGTCTATAGCAGCCCAATCTGCTTAGCTGACGACTTTATTTTAGCGCACATTCATCTTTGGAGTGCAAATAACATATGCTTGATAATAGGGGACTTTAATGCACATGATATTAGTTGGACTGAGATGACCATGGAAGTATCTATAAACGTCTTTGATAGTAGGTTCCTGATAACAGTAATGGAGCATGTATCCAAATCCACACGTTTTGGTGCTAACCAAGGTTCTCTGTTGGACTTGATAATCACTCATGATACTGAGGATACTGTCGACCTAAATATTCTTCCACCGTTGGTGAACAGCGATCACTCTGTTTTGCCATTCACGTTTAGAACTAGGGACATGATATACGATCAGGTTACACCCCACCCAAATGTATGGAGAGCCAATATATTAGCCATTCAGGAGTGCGTTGATAAGACATTAGTTTGTGGATACTAGCTTATCAGTTGAAGAAGCATGGTCTGTATTTAAAGGTAAGGTTAGTTCAATATCATCCTCGTTCATACTATACCTGGTACTGCGTAGACCGAATAACAGTCCACCATGTATAACTAAACTAGTCAGGAAACTTCTCAGAAGAAAGAAAAAGCACTGGAATATGTTCATCTCTACTAGATTAGAATGATACTGATCCACCCATTGTAAGATTAGGAATGCCTGCAAAGCGTTAATAAGTAAGACTAGACGACATTTGAAAATCGATCAGTTAGGGATTGTAGATATAGTCCAAAACGGTTATTCTCGAACTCAGAGAAGAGATGGGATTCCATCACTTTTGATAAGTCCAGTGGTCCTGATGACATTCATCCTAGGATTATGAAGGCCATATCACATGAAACTGCTGAACCTTTAGCGATACTGTTTGACATATCTCTGAGGCAGTCCTGACTGCCCAAAGGCTGGAAAGATGGGATAATAAGTCCGGTGTATGAAGCTGGGAGTGGGGATTTAGTTAGCAACTATAGACCCGTTAACTTAACTAGTTCGTTTGTAAAACTAATGGAAAAAATCCTTCGACAAGGTCTCCCATTCGGGTCTTAAATTCAAACTGAAACGTTTGGGAATCCATTATACAGTTGTAGATTGGATAAGTAACTTTCTCCATGACAGGAGGCAAAGGGTAAAAGCTAATGGAGCGCTCTCCTCGTGGGTACCTGTAAAAAGTGGAGTTACTGAAGGTACGATCCTTGGTCC